CCCCAAAACCCCAAAACCCCAAAACCCCAAAACCCCAAAACCCCAAAACCCCAAATTGTTCTTAGCAGGTTGAAATTAAAAGATTTTTGACTGTGATTTTAGACAAATTAGGTAAATAAGTCTTCTCTATCTGGTGCTTCAGTCTCATCCTCCTCGTCTTGGAGGGCAAAGTCAATGAAATGAGATGGCCTATGAGCCTCATGATAATAGTCATTTGGATGATCAATTACCAAGCTGTAATTAATGTTCTCGTTAAAGTTGATTCCCATGAAATTGTAGTTCCAGACACCTCCTTCTGGAACCATGAAGAAGCCGAGGAACTTGTCTGAGAGGATCATGGTAACTTTTTCATACATAGAATCTTGCCATCCTTTGACTTCATTTTCTGCTTCTTGGTTCTCTTTACCCCACTCAAGTCCTTCCGATGTAAGTCTGTAAGCAGTGAGGTTGCATGACCCTGTGATGAAACTACAGGTGATTCAGATAGTGGCTTCTGCATCAAAGTTAGGTCCATTCTGGATGATCCTTGCCTGCATGATCGCATCAAATGGAGTCATCTCATTTCCTTCAGCAGCCTGTGTATGTATGAGACCAAGGGGCTCAAGGTCAGATAAGTTCTCATCTTCTGGGAATTGTTTTGGAATTTTATAGGATTGGTGAGTTCCGAGTTGAGGAATCATCACAATTCATCTGACCTCTTTGACCATATTATTTTCCTTTGGTGTGACTCCGTACATCATTCCACAGATCTGGATTCTGAGGTCAGAAATCTCAATGAATTTCTTGAGCACATTCTTGGGAATAACATATGTGAATGCAGTGTCTGAGATTCCTTCAATATTTGTGTACAAATGATTTGTTCTCAGATGTAAGTTTGATGCGTTTATGGCTCTTAGTCTCCAGTCATTTTTGGATGAGAACTTCTCTTGTTCATATGGCGTACTGACCAAGGTCACCATTTTCTGACCATGGATGTTGGTAGTAGTAACTGTAGTTGCTGTGACTTCAGCTCCTTCTCTCTTTGCTTGATCGATATTCTCAGCTTCAGTCTCTCCAACGGTTGGAGGAGCGATTTCCATACCAAGGATGATATCCTTGACTTCTGATTGTGTCAACGATGCAACATTGATACTGTTCTTTTTGGCAAAATCTGCGAGGATCAAATTTCTGAGCTCAACTTCGACCTTAACCCATTCCTCATCAGAGAGGGTAGGCCAGATGTGATGAGGCTGAGTCTTCACGTTTTTGTCTGGTCTCAAGATGATCTTTGTTCTGTCATTGTTGACATGTAAAGCTCTCAATATCAAAATCAATCTTGAGAAGCAAGTGTAAGGACTAATTGATTTTGACCAGTCATCATATAAGTTGAAAAGCAGCATTTGTGGCTCTGTAGCTTTGAGAATTCTGTCTTCAAATTTGGAGATCTTGAAGCAAGCTTGGAATGGCAGCTGTAATTCAGATCCTTTGATCACAATATTTGGGAAATCAAGCAGATGCACTTCGAGAGGATCAAGCATACCTTTTCTAGTGACAATAATTTGCTTGGGTTGTTCCTCTGCTGGGAGGCATCTGATCAGGGCTGCTACCTCTTCTGCAGTCTTCCATTTAGCAAGCTGTCCGAGACGTTTCTGACCTGACCAGACTGAAGTATGGATGATCTTGAGGAAAAGCTGTCCAGTTCTTGGATTAAAGATGAAAATAGCTCCATTGATTGGCTTTGTGGTCAGGTTTCCTTCCAGAGTCTTGTGCAAGGTGACTCTATACACATGTGTATCGTCAACAAACCACATAATTTGGTTACTGAAAAGCTCTCCGAAATTCTGAGAGTTAAGGTATGGCTCAGTAGGCTCACTGGAATACAATTGCAAACCTTTCCTAATCCTTTCTCTGAGGACATAGAGTGCAGGGTTGTATTTCATAATCTTGTTCATTGCTTGCTGGAAAAGTGGCTTTGATTTTGGGAACCAATTACCATATCCAGAATGAAGGTTATAAGCAAGGTCAATTCCAAGCAGTACTCCGGTTGGGCATGGATAAGTACTCATATTATCTGTAGTGTAGTCCAAGAATCTTGATCTGGAGTATCTTTCAATGTCATGAGAGTCATAATCTCCCCATTTTAGCTGGACATCGATCCAAAATTTTGGAGAAGTAGTTCCGTCATAAATATCTTTACTGTGATGAAGAAGTGAAGGGTTTGAAACTTGCCAGTTGTAGTTTGCCATAAGAATGATATCAGCACAAGACGAGTTCATCTTGTAAGACTTCCTTGGGTGGATACTTTCTTTCTGAGTGTTTTGGATCTCTAAGTGATCTGACTCTTGGTCCAGTACCTGACACAGATCCATGACAATGTTTTCATGGATTTTCTGCCAAAGATGTGCTCTGAAAATTTGGATCAAGGAGATCTTCAAAGTTGGAATTTTACCATGCATGAAAATACCAGTCAGATCTAATTGCACTTGGAAACCAACGTATACATTCATTCTATTGATTGTTGGACTCCACCATAGGGTAAATCTTCTGTTTGGAATCTGATTAAGACCAGATCTCTGTGCATGAGTAAGTTTCTTATACTTCATACTTTGCTCAAATCCTGATGCTTTTTCCCAGAAAAGTCCTTCCCATCTGATGAAGTAAGTTCCTTTAAACAAGGTGTGCTCTAGGATACCTTCAACTCCTCCAAGAGCTTGGATCATATCTGTTCTGTAGTTATTCAAATTCCACAACTTTCCGTCATGTTTCTGGTGAGTCCACCAGAAAGGATTTTGCTTAAGCATCTGGTACTGTTTGAAATCCTGTCTGACTCTCCATCCCTTGTCATATGCTAGAGTCAGCCTATCTTTCTGGAAGAGAGTATTGATTCTAGGAATTCCTCTGTCCCAAGAATCATCAAGGTCTCTGAGGGTAAGCCTCCTGTTCTGCACCTGGGCTTCTTGTCTCTTAAGTTTGTACTCAGTCCAGACTCTTTGGGAATCAATGAATTCAGACTCCCAACTCTGAATGTACCTGTAAAGATTTGGAATCAGTTGGTCCTCTTCATGAGACATTCCAACTCTGAAATGGGAGATTCCTGTGTCAGTTTGTTTGGTATATTTTAGATCAGCCTGTGGAATTAAGATGTGACCCATTGAGAGCATTCCAAGTCCTCCCAGTTCTTTTGGAGTGTAGAATACCACAGGAGGGAATCTTGAAGGCATCTTTGAGTTCAAACCAATTTTAATTCTTGTTTGGATCTTGTTCTCACATTTTACAAGGAGGTCAAGTAGCTCTTCAGTGTGAACAGCAGCTTCTCTGTAATAAGTCATTAAGCCGATAAGTGTGGTGTTCCATTTGTTAGCAATCTTGGTAAAAGTAGTTGATCCAGAAGCCATCAAGATCTGTCTGACTCTGTTCTCAAACCGTTTGAAGCCCTCATCGTCAACTCTGAGAAAAGCCTGAGCAGTGATTTCTTTGGTTGACTGGTTCTGTAACTTCCAGACTCCGTCTTTTTGGGAGAACTGGCCTTCTCCAGCTCTGTACTTTGGAAGAATTCTGACATCAAAACCGCACATGTTAAATAGAAGATTTGGATTATCTTTGGAATAGACAGATATAAAGCTTTCTTTCCACTCAATTGTAGTGAGAGACCTTGGAAGCCTATTTTTGGTTTCCCAAAATACAGCTCTCCCAAGATTGACGTCATGTTTCATGAGTCTCATTCGGCAATCACGAGGCCAGCATTTCTTGTTGTTGTAGCCCACAACATTCTCATTGTTGGGGTCAGGATTTTCTGTGAGGTATCTTTGGATCAGATCTCTAGCTTCTTCCTCTGTGAATCTGAAGATCATGAAAATCCTGTCAATATATCTACAGTAAAGTCTGATAGGATGGTGGGTCTCTATCTCCTCTGTCTTGAAGCTCAGGAAATTATTAGGTGAGTTAGGAGGTCCAGCTAGCTCAGATGCACGCTGGAGTCCAAGAACCAACAAATCTAGGATCAATGCATAGTATTGGAACACAAATGATGAGAATTGAAGTCCTCTGATCAATCCATAACTATTAGTATGACTCATGTCCTTGAAACCAACCACTACATTGTTCTTAGTGGTGATGTAGTCAGCAATGTTGTGATCTACAATGAGTCTAAGAAGTCTGTTAAGCAAGGTCAAGTCTATTTTCTCATAAACTTTTTCAAATTTTGATTCTAGAAGGACGACTCATTGATTGTCCTTTGTTTCCCAAATATCAGTAAGATTGTTGATTCCTTGACACCATTTATAGACAAGCAGTGGAGGAGGCTCATGATCAGCTGGCTTGATCCAGTTAGGGAACAAGTTACGTTTATCTGCTTCATACCAAAGGTATTGATCTAGGTAAGCATCTGTGATCTTTTCCAAAGGCTCGATATCATATACAGGAGTAAGATGAGAATAATGATCCATGAACTCTATCGCAACTTCCTTGAAGGCTCTATGTGTCAATAAATGTCTCTTCACTCTTGAAAGAGCTTCATGAGGATTATCGTAAGCTTGCTCTATCAAACCAAGCTCTTCTCTTTGTGAAGAGTTCAGCCTTGCTTTTACAGAGTATGCTTCCTTTAGTCTTTCCAGACATAAAACAAACAATTTTGTATCATTTTTGTAGTTCAATGGAGGGAATGGAATATGAATATATTTCCTACTCTCAAGCCAATGCACAGTTGTTGTATAGAGAGCAACTGCTTCTTCTGGACTGACATAAGGTCCATCTTTCAAGTAATCATGCTGTCTTTCTTGTTCAGATTTAAGATACAGTCTAGTAAGTCTTCCAAGGTTCTTTTTACACACAGTTTTATCTACTGTAGCTCCTCTCTTAATTCTTTCTCTGTTGAAGTAAGCAGCATTGGTCCACCAATCAGCTTTGGCCTTGATGTATCTAATAATCATATTTTCAACTGGAGCTGGCAGTCCTGGAACTTTCCATGGGATATTAGCCTTCCAGCATCTCCATGCTTCGGAAAGATGTTGCATGATTGTCTTGGTCTTGTTAGCTTTAATACCATCAGGCATCATATCGTGAATATCAGCCATAACAGCAGCTCTCAGTTCCAAATCGAACTGTGATTCTACTCTTTGTTTCGTAATAGTTTTGGCGATTCCTTTGGAATGTCTTCCTTCAAATTGTCTTGCGAGTAAATTTCCAAGCCACCTTTCAAGCAAGGGTGTGATACCTCTGAGGAAGAAGAGCCATACTCTCCAGCTGGGAGCCCAGAATCCAACTCCTGGTCCTTCTCCGACTGGTCCAGTATTGAACCTGTAATTGACAACATGCTTGATATCTTTGCACATTCTGACTTGCCTCATGAGTCTGTACTTGTACCTGTACATACCAGTGAGATGGCCAACATGAGTGAATATGTATTGAAGACCGTCAGCAAGCTGGAATGCTTCTATATATCCCATTCTGTACTTGACATGAGCATCTACAACCATCTTGGTTAGCCTCATAATCTCTCTACAGAGATGGAAGGCATTTCCGAATCGAGACTTCTTTCTTTCCTTTGTAGTAAGTGTCTTCACTGGCTTTAAGTTGAAATTGAAGTCTAAATGAAGATAATTCAGGTTCTTTCTGTGGATCAATAGGTTGAACATGTTGTAACCCTGTCTACAAACTTGTAGACCAGCTTCTACCCAGTCAAGCTCTGTCATCTGGAAGAACTTTGTACCAGCAAATGCTTTGAAGAGGGATCTCTTCTTCATTGCTTTTGGAGATCTGTGATGAAGTTTGTTCAGAACCCAGCATTTCAAAAGTTTCTGGTAGCTAACTCTTACTTTAACAGGGTTTTTCTGAGGGCATCTCTCTTTGAACCAAGCATTGACCAGTGGGATATCATAGTTTCTCCTAGTCCTTCCTGACCTCTTGTTGAAAGGGTGAGGTGCCCAATACAGGTTGATTCCATTGACAGTGTTTTCAGTTTGCAAGTCATTGTCACTGAGGAGTGGAGCTGCTGATTCTTCTGGGAGCTCGAACTCATCAAATTCTTCAGAATTAATGTGCACTTCACTAAGATTCTTCATTCCATCTTGCCTGTAAGCACTTATAGGGTTGATAACCTCATCAAAGTAGTAAGCTGGAGCATCTGGGTCATCATTTTTGATGAAGCAAACGGTTGGATAGTGGTATACTGCCATTTCAACCTTCCTTGGTCTACTGTTGTAGAGATAAGGGAATGCAATTTTGTATTCAGTCCTAATATGATGCCTGATAATAATCTTTCTGATATCATTGAATTCATTCCAATCTTCATCATCATCTTGGATTACGTCTCTGTAGAGAGGCTCAAATTTTGGCCCTCCTGGGATTGCCATGTTTAAAGCTTTTGCAGTACAGAAGGAATTCATTTCGAACAAATGATAGTAATTTTTATCCTGAAGGTCACTCAGGAGTTGGTTGGCTAATCTATATAGATTTCCCATTGTTGATCAATTCAGTCTCCATCTCTTGTAACTTGGACCATTAACCATCTTAGTAAATTTGAGAGGCTGGTGATCATAGAACCAATCATAGACTTCATCGTCTTCATCTTCATCAAGGTCCATTTGAATAGACTCAAGGGGTTCGGCATTGAGGATATTATCACCATAATCAAGGGGAGGCTCTTCGTCATCGAATGGAGGGAACCTCATTCTTTTGAAGTGTCTTCTATCTCTTTTCTCTCTTCTCATCATGATCCACATGGTTGCCCATTGAGCTACATACACTGGCTCAATGACTTTAGGGACCTCATTAACAAAGGTGATAGCTCCAGTAATGTGATAGAGTATTTTACAGTATCTGACTTCCTCCCAAGGCATTGGCATGTTCTCCAACAGTTTAAACACAGCATGAGGGATATACTTGAGAGCCCCGAGGTAAACTCTCTTATCTTGCCTGAATTTCTTTGAGGACATGTCTCCATGATCCTTGACGATTTTTCTGTAAACTTCTGGAGGGAGCATCTCCTTCTGATTGTCAACGTATCCAAACTTCCTCTTCTCATTATATCTTTTTGTGTTGACATGCCTCCACTTTTTAACTTTCTCTTTTAAGATATTTTCTGGGAGGACTAAGTGGCTCAGATCCATGTTGAAATTATCACCAGAGGTCTGTCCACCTTTGACCGGAGGTCTGAGGTCAAGGGAGGGTTCACTAGATCCAACATTTCTTGGATTTCCGGAGGGAAATTGTTTTCCCTTCTTATTCAAAGCTGTTGAGGTATCAATAATTTCTTCCTCTTGCTTTTCTGCATTGGTGTTTGTCCTTGGTGGGACAAGACCTGGAGGAGGCCCTGTAGCGCCAGGATCATCTTGATTTTTGCCATCCATTGTTTCACTCAAGATTTTTAATATTATATAGGGTTTTAAATTAAGGAACTCTTCAACAATGAGCTAATTATTTGGGGTTTTGGGGTTTTGGGGTTTTGGGGTTTTGGGGTTTTGGGG